AATTGCATTTGAAAACCATATTAAAAGACTATAAATTTAAGAAACAGGAGGATAAAATAAATCAATACAAAAACAGAAATAGGGAAATGTATAAGAATCATAATAATAAGAATTGATAACAATGTTATATTTAGGTGATCAAAATTAGAGCAATGGTAGCTTTTGGGTGCATGCTGTATTCAATTAAAATGATTATATATTAATGTTTGTAGCTCTGGTGGCATAGTGCCTAAGATATTTGAATGGTAACCAGAAGGCTGGTGGTTCAAGCCCACCAGCCACTCCTCAGAAGGAAGATTGGGCAATCTACTTCCATAGTGGTACCAACTGGGAAACCCAAGAAGGTGTCCTATGAATCAGATCCAACTCGATGGCAGTGAGATTCTTTTTTTGTAGATATTAATGTTAAATTCACTAACATATGTTTCTCTGGTGGTACTGTATGGGATGATTATTATTCTTTTCAATTGAAAACTAACAAAAATATTATATGTGATAACAATCGGAAATGAGCAGGGAAGTGAAAGTTATCTTTAAAGTAGATCTGAGTGAGGGTTCCTAATAAATAATGAAATATAGAAAAAATTTAAATGTTTCACATTAAGGAAATTTAGTTTTTTTTCTTAGAGAAATAATTAGAAAGTGATAATGAGTGATGGAAAGATTTTCATTACATATAGCTGTAAGCTTTTCCTTTTATAATATGCTATATAAATGGGTATCAACTTTCTGAATAAATTATATAGTATTACAACACAATTATATGAAGCATGAAGGAACATTAGTTTAGTCCAAATCAGCTCATAAATTTAAGTAGAACTGGGGGAGATATCTACTGACATTCTACAATATACTAGAATATTATTAATGATTTTCTTTATAAGTCTTTTAAGTGGTCAGTCTTACTGAGAATAGAGTTATTGTTTGTTTTTTAGAGCTAAGAAGTAATGCCTGGTAATCTACTTCCAAAAATTATCCAGTGCACACCTCATGAATGACAACAGTCCAATCCACAACACATGAAGGGAATATTCTAGGAAGAGACAATATTTTATTCAGTTGACCATGGGGTCACCTGAATTGTAAATCAACTGAATGGCAAATAACATTAATAACAATAGGAGATTATTATACATGCACATCACAACCACATACATATACACCATTAAGTAACATGCTAATAAAAAAATAATTAATGATATTCCTATATAGGGAGCTCTGGTAGCATAGTGGCTAAGACACTTGCCTGCTAACCAGATGGCTGGCAGTTCAAACCCACTAGCCACTCCTCGGAAGGAAGGTTGGGCAATCCTATTTCCACAGTGATACTGCCTGAGAAACCCAAGGAGGGGTCGCTATGAGTTGGGTTTGACTCGACAGCACATAACAACAACAACAACATTTCTATATAATCAAATAAGATACAATAAAATAAATATTTACTGAATTCTGATTCAATCTAAGCATCTAGTGATGATCTTGGACTGAGATCTCCAAGATGGCAGCCACAACACCCATGTGGCTACTAACAATTTGAAATGTGATCAGCACAAACTGAGATGTGTTATACGTGTAAAATGCACACTAGATAAAAGAATTAATATTAAAAAAAATCATAATTATTTTCTGTGGATTGCATGGTAAAATGATATTTATATTTGTTTAAATAAATGTATTAATGATAACTAATTTCATTTATTTCTTTGTAGCTTTCCTTTAAGGTAGCTATTGGAAAATGTTTAATTATAAATATGTTGTATTTTATATATCTGTTGGTCAGTGCTGACCTAGAATAAAAAAGAATTAAGACAGTGTCCATTTCATTAAAAGGCCATACTTACTTTCACATATACATTTTCATAATATTGAAGAAAACATCATATCTTCAATAAGAGAAATTAATATAAACTAATAAAAATGTAGCTGATTATCCCACAACAAATACTTAACAATATAGTTAACTTCTTATAACTGGACTTTCATGCAATGTAGGCAACGATAAGAAAATTGTGGGAGATTATAGTCATCAATGGATCTATCAGAGATCTTGGCAGAGTTTTGGCAATACAAGGTTTCTTTAAGAAAAAACACAGGCAATTTTTGGGAATTAATTTCAGCAGACTAAGGCAGACATAGAAAGATGCCATTCATCTTATTCCAACTACATCAAAAGCAAGGCAAGAGAATGGCTATATTGCCAGAAAGAGAAATCAAATCAAAACCTATGGCTATTGAATCAATTACAGTGGATACCAGCCCTATAAAACAGTAAAACTTTCCCATAGGATTTACAATACTGTAAATCTTCCAGAAGGAGACAACTCCATATTTCTCTCATGCAGTAACTAGTGGATTTGAACTGCTGACCTTTTGGGTCATAGCTGAGAGCTTTAACCACTGTGCTAACAGGTCTCCAAAGTAAGAAAATAGAGGGTAGAGGGCAAAAAAAAGTCATGACTTCATGAAACTAGAACATTTAAAACTGCTTATAAGAAGAATCCTTAGGTTATGCAGATGGATATGCACTCTATTGCTAACAAAAAGGTTCAATAGTTCAAAGTCCACCCAGAAGCAGGTGGGAAGAAAGACCCAGTCATTTACTTCTGAGAAATTAGCCTTTGAAAACCCTACAGAGTGCAGTTCTACTTTGACACACATGGGATCACCTTGAGTCAGAATTGACTTGACAGTAATTATTATTTATTTCAATCACCATCCTTATGGATTAAGATTGATATGTAATTGTAGCTGTTTTGCATTCTATGCCTTGGAGGCAATTACAACTCATAGTGATCTGATGTGACAGAGTAGAATCACCCCATAGTGCTTTCTCACAAGGTCAGTAGCTTGAATCTAGCAGGTGCTCTGCAGGACAAATATATATGGTAGACTGCTTTCCTAAAGAATTACAGCCTTGAAAACCCTAAAGAGCTCTACTCTGTCTTATATGGTCACTAAGAGTCAGAATCAATTCCACTACAGTGGGTTTGGTTGTTTGTAATCGTTACAAGAGCAGATCACCAGGTCTTTTCTCCTGTAGAATGGTTGGTGGGGTCTAACAGCTAATCTTTCAGTTAGCACCAGATTGTGTAACAATTTCACCACCAAGGCTTCTTATGATCATAGCTACATAATTATTAAGAAGTTTATATTGCATCTCTTTTGAATATACTAATCTCAGAAATTCATACGGGTGAAGTTGTTATTTATTCTACCATTCTAAAAGAAGTAAAATTATGATGATAGTAAAAATGTGTGTAATGAATTGTAAAACAGCAGAATGGATTCTTCTTATTCCTATTTTCTACTGCTATTGTAAAATACTAACATACACTGATTGAAAATTGAGTAAAATGTGTAAAGATCAACTACAAAAACTTCAAAATAGGGATTATTCACTGTTGTTATGTGTCTTTAGACACTCCACAACCTTCTAAGGAAATAATGTAAAAATAATTGAGTATGATTTAGATTACAGAATACAGAGCCCAGTGCATCTGTGACAGGAGAAATGGAGGATATAGCAATGTTAACATACTCAACTCCTGAGAAATTATTCTATTGGCCTTTATTAAGTGTCCGTGTCATACATTTAAAGATAGCATAATATTTATATCTTTAACCGCACTTCACCACTCAGTAATTTGCCTAGGGCTGCCTTCATATCCTTATTCCTCAGGCTATATATGAGAGGATTCAGGCTGGGAGGTAACATCGTGTATAACACAGATATGAAGAGATTCAGTGACGTTGCAGATGTATAATTTGTACCTAAATATGTAACAATTCCAGAAAAAAGGAACAAGGCCACCACAATGAGATGAGGCATGCAGGTAGAAATAGTTTTGAACCGGGCTTGAGCAGATGGAATCCTTAAGACAGCTGAGAATATGTAAACGTAAGAGGTAATTATGAAAATAAAGCATAAAAAAGCAAAGGAAAAGCTAGCAATTAGAAATGCATATTCTAGTATCTCTTCCCCAGGACAAGCAAGTGTAAGCAGTGATGGAATATCACAGAAGAACTGATGCACTATATTGGATCCACAGAAATTTACAGAGAAAGTACCTGCCACATGAATGGATCCATAGATACATCCGCTGAACCAAGATGCAGTCACCATCCGCACACAGGCATGTCTATTCATAATGATCTCATAGTGTAGAGGATGGCAGATAGCAGCATATCGGTCATAGGACATGACTATAAGGAGGACATACTCTGTGATACCAAAAGTCGTGAAAAGAAAAATTTGTAAGGCACATCCAAGGAAGGAGATGGAATAACTCTTGATCAAAGAGTTCATGTTGGATTTGGGGACAGTGACAGAGATGTAGCAAATATCAATAAAAGACAGATTCTTCAGGAAGAAATACATGGGGGCTTGAAGGTGCTGGTCAATGGTGGTGAGAATGACAATGAGGAGGTTCCCCATCAGTGCTGTTAGGTAAATGAGGAAGAAGAGGACTGCACACAGCTTCTGTAGCATCCAGTTATCAGGGAATCCCATAAGTAAAAACTCAGTTACGATGGTTATATTGACTAGCTTTCCAGGCATACTGACTCTTTTCTGTGGAAATAAAAATAGCATTGATAACTAGTCCACTTAGACATGAACTCAGTCATCTGTATCTTCTGGCTGTGTTCTGCTTTGCCTCACGCTTGACATGGCTTGATTCTGTGTGAAATGAAGTTTATCAGAAGAGTTCAAGGAAAAGCTCATTATACATCTCCCTTCTTATTATTGGCACAAACTATTAATGGCCAGGATTTCTATCCAAAAAGCTGATTGTCCACATCTACCCAGAGCCAACTGAGAAGATAAATTTGGTAACCCACTTCCAATAAATTAGCCATTGAAAACCCTGTGGAGCACAGGGGTGCTCTGACAGACATGGGGTTGTTACGAATAGGAAAGGACTCAGGTGCAAATGATTTTGTTCTTGTCCTTCTTGCAATATTAGAGAGCAAACTGAAATATGATTTACCATTACAGAAAATTTAGGAAAAGGCAGAAGATGCTACAAACTGCAATCTGTTCAGGAAGCAGGAAAATGTTATCTCACCTCCCATGTGTTAGGAAATTAGTAGCTTTGTGCAGGGATTTAGGATACATTCTGCATGTAAAGCAATTAACACATCCTTTCTCTTTTCTGCTGATGCTTCCAGAAGTTATTTGCCAAACACTGCCTGTGAACTTGGTAAAAAATACAATATAGTAAAAGAAAAACAAAAGCATTGGTTTGTAAAGGGTGATTAAAAATAATATAGAGAAAGTCCAAGGCAGATTGGGGGAAATCATGAATTGCCATTACACTGGGATGCCATCTTCTCTAGTTGATGTCAAATACAAAGGACTTTAATAAAAATTAAGATGTACAGATTATCACTTTTGACTCCTTTACTAGTGAGTAGGGAGCAACTACTACTGTGATCAAAAATCTATTTTCTCTCTATAAACTACAACGAGGATAAGTGGCCTTGCTTGAGACAGTAAATGAGTCTTTGAATGTCCAC